CGTAGACGTACTCCTCGTCGTCGTACGTATAGTCTACGTAGGTAGTAGGAGTATGTTGTCGTACTATATATCTACTTTCTTTATTTTTTTCTCTCTCTCTCTCTCTCTCTCTCTCCTCCCCCCCCCCCCCCCCCCCCCCCCCAAACCTTGTTCAAGCCCAATTATGGTTTTGGGCATCTCTATCTCTTTTAGTTTTTGTTATTTTTTTTGGTATCTCTATTTCTTGTAAGCTCAATTATGTCTCTGGGTATCTCTCTCTCTTTTATGCTCTATTAGTTTTGGCTCTCTTTCTCTCTGATTTGATTTTATATTGTGGTTTTGGGTTTCTCTTTCTCTGTGTGGTTTTGATCACAATTATGGTTGTGGAATTTGGTAGTCATTTGCTGTTATTGTCTTTTCATTATTTCTGCAATCATGGGAGCTGTAATCTTTTGGATTGAGTGATGCTAAATTATATTCTGCTGTCTTATGCGTAACTGAAACTACATTGGGTTCATGGTTTTCTTCCTATGTAAATTATAATTGGTTTTGATTTCATGCAACTGTCTTATATTAATTTAGTGAAATGCAACTTTCCAGACCATCTTTGGAGCACTTGTTTCACCTTATTTTTCTAGCACACACTCAATTCACAATGATGAACAATTTCAAAAAAATAAAAAAAGAAAAATTGAATACGGACCATAAAAATTGCTATTTGTAACCCAGTGAGCGTAACCCCTCCATTTGATAGGATGATTAGTTCTAGGCCTTACGAAGTAATTATTTTTTATCCCGATTTTTGTAGAAGTCTTAATTGACATTGGATGCAAATTTAAAAAAAAAAAAAAAAAAAATGAAAAATTGATTTTGAGTTCTTAAAGGTCTAGATCTCAATGCCCACCAATGGACTAATGGACTATCTAGATTCATTGTTGGAGAGTGACTCATTTTGAAGTTTTATTGGATGTATTGGAGAGTGACTCATTTTGAACTTTTATGGGATGTAAATTCAATTCTTTTCCTCGTGGGTGTTGATTGTTGGAATGAAGAGAGTGCAATTGCAAACTTTGGGATCATGCAAATGTCGAACGGGGTTTTCTAAAAGAGCACTTTCATCAATATCATAATATAACAGTGATATGTAATCACCCTATATGTATATATAACTTTTGCATATTTATGCACTTGTATGTATACTAATCTAAGTATTTTTGCAAATATTTGCTGATAAATGCTGAAAAACACATCGAAATCATTGAATAACAATTCACAATTATAATAACTCTGCCACTTAGTGATGTAATATTAATCACTAAACTAGGTTAGCTAGTTACTAATGAGTAATAACCACATAGTAAAATATTTGACATGTCCATAAATTGCTCAAAATATTTGACAAATCTACTTCTTTGTTAATGCTTTTTTCCTAAAATCACTTTTGGGGGTCGGGATATCTATACACCTAGTGAATATACTAATATCTCTTATGCTTGTCTTTTTTAACTTCATTTTACTTGTCTTTTGAATGGAGGAATAAGATTCGTGTAGCTGACCCTAAATAGTCGAGAATGGCCTGGGGCCTTGGCGGTAGTAGTGCCGAGCTCCATGGTGAGGTCTCTGACTCCATTCTCACTAATGTGTAGGGGCCCAAATCCCTACTTACTTACTACTTTTGGGAAGGGGCTGGGGTCGTGGTGGTAGCACCCATATCCTAGTCACCACATTGTGGTTTCCATTCCTACTACTAACACCACTCCACTAACACCTTCAAAAAGCCAACTCCTAATCTACTTTGAAAAAACGGGTAAGGGCCTTTCTTCCCTACTGAATTACCCAAAAAAAAAAAAAGTTGGGATAAGGCTTGGATGATGATGATGATTGCTTGTCTTATGCAGTTTCTATTTCTTATGCAGTTTCTATTAATATGTATTTCTTGAAACTGTTCTTCCTTGAATACTTTGCCACTTTTATTAAATCTGAAATTGGAAATGTTTTACCTTGCTTTCTTTTTATAGCAAAAATAACTATATTTCGGTGACTTTCAAAGTTATTTGATTTTTGGGTCTAATGTCTCTGCATTAATATCATGATTTCTTTCACATTTGTTTACCATTAACATTTATAGGAAATAAAAAACTCTTTACTGGTCACTTTGATTAAACATAATTGTTCATTGTGGTTTCCCACTACAATTACAGGAATCTATGAGGTGAACTTAGACAGGCCGGGAGCAAAGAATGCCATTGGAAAGGATATGTTAAAAGGATTGCAAAACACTCTGGAGGTTGTAAATGGAGATTCGTCTGCTCGTGTTTTAATGCTTTGTAGCTTAGTTCCTCAAGTCTTTTGTGCTGGTGCTGACCTCAAGGCAAGAATCTACACCCTGCCCTTTTTTCCTTTTTATGAATTGGGCTTCATTTCATCTGTGGTTGAAAATAATAACGTCCCAAGATTGAACAGGGACTGTCCAATTTCTGGAGAGCAAGATCTAAGAGTTAAAGAACTCCAAATCCTTTTTTTTTTTGGAAACATCCATGTGGTGATTGGGTGGATCCCAAAATCCTCCAATGTCGCTCTTTTGCACAAGGGAGTAAATGTACAGTATGCTCCTATGGGGGCATATGCTATACACGTTCATTAGATTTATTGTTTTAAAAATAATCATTATGACTTATAAGGATGTGCTAAGTTGCTTGATGTTTTTGCAGGAGCGTAAGATCATGAGCCCTCCCGAGGTTGAGTATTTTGTGAACTCTTTACGCTCAACCTTCTCATTTTTAGAGGTTAGTGCTCACTATACTCAGTATTCTACAGTTCTACTTGTTTATTTTTTCACCTGTTTTGGTGTTAGAAGACATTGAAATCTTTGACACTTCTTCCCCATGGTCGGTTTATACCATGGGAATGTTAGAAACTAAAGTGGAACTGTCTTTGTTCAACAAAGTTTATCTTTATACAATTATAGTGCATCTAAAGGTCGGGTCGTGCTGTCAATTATAATTTTCAAAGTTAGAAGTCGTGGGAGGGTGATAGAGTCCAGAATTTCATACCTACATTTATGGTCTAGTTATTTGTATCCACAATTATGTCAAACACAAATGATGTGCATAAGAATTGTCAGGGCGATGAGAAAATGTTGCAGCCAAGGGAGATCACATAGAATACTGAAGTAGGTGCATTGTAAGATGGAGATTTGAGAGGTTATAATAAAAAATTAATTACTTATATGATGTTTTATTTTTGGTTTAAAATTTGTGAGTGTAAAACCCTAAATCTGTATAAAACTTGGATTCAATGTCGATGTGCACTGCATTGTGTGATGTGCCAATTGCCAACATGAGACTTTTATCCAACGGTTACCATATGAGAAACATTGGAAATAGTTTTTCATATGAAAAACTACTTATGATTAGCATCGTAAGAAACATGCTTGTCTTGTTTTGCTCAAATTGAAACTCCCAAATAGATTTAAGACAAAAATAAAAAGAAAATTGCATGTTTGAGGCCAGAGATAAAGAAAATTTCTTATGGAAATTGGAAAGATAGAAATAAAAAAAAGAATTGAGATGTGAAATCATGTTGGTCCTACATCTATGTCCATGATATGAATGTCAAAAGATAATTCATCGCTGCATTTATATTACTCTACCGTGTTATGCTTTTAGCTCTTCTTTATTTGCAAATCATATTCTAAAACAGATGATCCCCACCATGAAGTCGTTTCTCTAAAATCTTCTGGCATTTCTATTCATCCACATAATGCAAATCATATTCTAAAACAGATGATCCTCACCATGAAGTTGTTTCTCAAAAATCTTTTGGCATTTCTAACCAATACTTCTCAATTTGTACCACTCTCTGTAGATATTCATCCCCATATGGAAGTCAAGAGGTTGGCGTACAACAATGAGCGATAAAATTGACTCTCTAGAGTTGTCAGCCATGTAACCTGACTGCCGTATTTTGTTTAGTTGGTGCTTGAGTTATACCTTGTTACCAATAGTCCTCTAGGTTACAGTTGACATGGGAGCAATGAGACCCAACATTATTCATGGTGTCCACTAAGAAATGAGGGTCTGCTTTTTATGTGCATTTTAGGCCTCAGACTGCAGAGAAACCCATGGTATAAATGCCTTGAAAAAGCTTGATTGCATGTATGTTGGTTTGCTTTCTGAAATCTAGATTGTGGGATTTTCTAATGGGGTGTTCCAAACAGGTCAAGGAACGCATAGCCTTTGCACAATCAACAATGCAAGGCTGACTTATAAGCTAAGAGAAAGTTGTATGTAAGCCTCTTTGCCAGGGTTGCAGTGATGTAGTGGAAAACATTTACAGGGAGAGAAAAAGAAATAATCTATTAACTGGAAGTTAAAGATGAAGCCTACAAGCCAGGGTCCAATGGCTCTTCACTGGTTAAACCAGAAATACGACATAATCTAAAAAAAGTCGACTTTACTTCTAGATCCTCTACATGGATCCTTATTTACAATTAAAGACCTTATTAAGAACCCAAAATTTAATTCTAATTGAAATAGAAGTCCTAATTAAAACAAAATTTCTAGTGACATTGTTACCCCCCGATAAATTAAATAATTGCATAAGGACTCTTAACAACTTTCCTAAAAAGCCCCTAAAACATAAAACTAAAAGAATCCTAAAATCCATTAAAGAAAACTTTAAAAACCTAAAAAAATCCCTAAAAGATCCACTAAAATGCATCCCCAAAATTTTTACAAAAAATTTAAAAATATGAGGCATCCTATCCTGCATTAGAAAGCATCATCAACTGAAACAAGGGTAGCCACATGTTAAGTGGGCTTTCTATAACTTTGATGGACTAGATGGGCCTATCCAATTTTTTTATCAGTCAGGTGGGCTTTATATTCGACAAGGGATATAGCAATTTCAAATTTTACCTTTTACACCATTTTTGAGTCATCTTGGAGGTACCCTTGTGAGATCTAGGGTGTGATACTGATGCAAAAGGAGTCCGGGAAATTAAATCTGGCTTTCTTTCGATCTTAAAGAAGCAAAAATTCAATAATAATGGGGGAATAATATGGCTGTAAATCAAGCCATAGGAAGAAGAAACTTTGTTTCTTCATTCATAAAAATATCTCTACAAAATATCCAAGTTCCTCTCTAAGGGAAAATTTCCACCTTAAATACAAGCCAAAAAGAAATAATAAGAAAACCCAAAAATAGACTCTATCTCTCTCTCAAACCCAATAAAATAACAATTAATTAAATCCTAACTAAATACCCCTTTCCAAACTTTCTTATTTTCTCTCATAGATCATCTTTTCTAGGAAATTTCTCTACCCTTTACGTGATCAACCCCCTCCTATCATTCTCTTTCTAATTATCTAATAATCCTACCAAAAATAGGATCATGGAATTCTACAAACAAGGAAATTCATCCTAAATAAAATAAAAATCCCTTTTTAATCTCTATATGAATATCCCCAAAATTCAGTCCCAACAATAGATACAAATAAAAATAAAAACAAAATCTTGGATGCGATTTGCATCATACTCCCTGGGTTGGAAAAAAATGTTGTCTCGAGTTTTTCCTGATGCATCTTCATCGTCCTTCCTTAGTTGACGGTGAAGCCCTACTTCTCCATGCAGTTGTTCTTTGTATGGCATGAACCGGGATGCATCTTCGATAGTCCTCCATTCGGCATGTGTGGCTCAAAACAAATTGCTAATTGAGGGATCAAAATCATCCCTCCTTGCGGAAGAAGGAGCATTGTTTCTCACCTAATAAGTTTGATTCATGATTGAAGAAGCTTTCTCCCATGTCTAGTCTTGAAAGAATTGGCACGGAAATAAGCAAATACCAACTAACTCCATGATTTCAGCATAAGTTGCAAACTTTACTGAGTCCCAAAAATCTCCAAGAAAGTGAGGTTTAGATAGCCTACAAATCATTAGCAACTTTCTGTTGTAAATTCCAACAATAATTACCCCAACTGTATAAGTCATTTCACAAGTACCAGCATCTGTGGCTCTCACATAACCATAAGCCACACTTTGTTTATTAAAAGGCCCAACAAGATTCAACCATGGATAAACAAGAAGCTTGTACACTCTCATGCTCGAAGGTTCAAGCTTTTTGTTTGAAACTCAAAGCAACTCCTTTCCTGCCATCAAAGGCATAAGCCAATAGTGAGAGATCAAGCCAATGTGGTTGAAGGTCAAGCCATTGACTTGAAACCCCATCTATTAGATAATGCCAATTGTTGCCACTTTTGTTGAGTAAAATTTCAAAAGAAGACCATGCGTGCCCCAATAAAATGTGTCTAAACCCAACTTAATATTCAAGCTATAAACTTGAGCACCCAAGACTGAATTTCTTGGATTCAAGCATGCACACATGCTGATAACAAAAGGAAAAGCAAAATCACTTGATCTAAAACTATGACAAATCATAAGAGGTAAGATTTTTACATCACTTCCAAACATACCTCCTTTGAGAAATCCACTCAAAACAACCTCACAAAATATTTGGCACTATAATTCATAGAATCAAGCATCAAGGTTGTAGCAAGCAGCTTACCAACTTTGCAATGGGGTGATAAAAGTGCATTGGCAATGCAAGGGTCACTAATGAATCCTGACCTCATAGATTTTCTTAATAACTATTATAATCTTTGTACCTCTGTTGCACCACTCAAATATGTAAACACCAATAAGAGTAGAATAACAAAGTCGAAAACCATGGGTCTTCATCTCCTTCAAAAGTTGTAACCTATTATCAAAGAAATTTGAGAAAATTCGGCCCTGAATTTTGAAATGAACTAAGATAAGTCATGTGTTTAACCCATAGTTTCTTTCAACACAAAATACATGAGTTGTGATTGGAATCTTCCACTCATTATAAAGCAATGACTTAGCCTTTCTTGCACTATGGAGGAACATCATTATCAACTTCAAGGTGGACATTGCTTATGTCAAAGATATTGTTAAGAAACCAAGCTGAAAACACCTTTAGTTCCTTAGTGTGCATCTCCCATGGCCTCTCAAAATCAGAAAACACATTAAGATAAACAATGCCTTTACTAGAATTATCCTCAATATCACTTTCATCTGTAGGTTGTCGCATAGAGAGTAGAGCCACACCCTCCTCTTTGGAAGACTTGGGTGAAATCTCCTCACTCAATGACCACAAAGATGGTTCATGTCTAACCATCAACACTTTACTTTGATCATAATCCACTGTCTCTGCTTTCTCATCCAATCCCAAATCCCCATTGATGACAATTATGGGTTGTTCCTCGTTCATTAGAAGTGATGCACTTAAGAATTCAACATTGTCTTTAATAGAGATAATGTTACAAGTTAAAAATTCCTTTTGATCTACACAATGATGAATTTTGCAATTAACAGATGGATGCCCTTTCCAAACTTCCTATTTTCTCTCATAGATCCTCTTTTTTAGGAAATTTCTCTATCCCTTACGTGATCAACCCTCTCCCATCATTCTCTTTTTAATTATCTAACAATCCTACCAAAAATAAGATCGGAATCCTACAAACTAGGATATCTATCCTAAATAAAATAAAAATCCTTTTTTAACCCCTATATGAATATCCTTAAAATTCAGTTCCAACAATAAATAAAAATAAATATCTTGGATGCGATTTGCATCAGATACTATTTGAGTGCTTGAGTGAAGTACACAGTTAGGGAGGCTTAACTGTGAGGCAGACCAAAGCAAAACCAAGAAAATTGGAAGGCCTCATGCGCACACACAAACACAAACACACACACACTCACACACATGCACGCACACACATACTCGCAGAGAGAGAGAGAGGTTCTTTTCATTGGTATAATCAACATATATTTGGTTGTTGCAATGAATATTAATCTGATTGGCTATGGGAATTTATAGTTCATCAAATTCATTGCCATCCAATGAAAAGTTGGGCAGTGACGTAGAGTGTGGGACATGCCATAAACAGGAGATGACCCCAATGACAGGTACCACTCTCCCTCCAACACCCTTCATTTCACTGGACTGTGACGTCTGCAATCAACTATAAGTTTTCCAAGATCACAGTATGCTTTCTCTTTCCTGTTGGACACGGACTGTTGTTTGCTTCCATAGCAATGAACTACTTGGACTCAATTGTGACAGGCACTTTGTATACCCACAATTGCTATCATTGAAGGAGCAGCATTGGGTGGTGGATTGGAATTGGCTTTATCATGTGATCTACGGATATGTGGTATGGCATGGTTAAATCAAAACTCAATTTCTTGAGTTACGATATGTAATTTTTAATCCACTAAAAAGTTTTGCCAGGAAAAAATAAATACTTGTTGTTAATTAGACAATAAAATTTGAATAATTTTCATCATAGTCCCAGATACTGATAGGTTCTTGGTGCCATGTTGAATGATACAGGAGAGGATGCAGTCTTTAGCATGCCAGAGACAGGGCTTGCTATAATTCCTGGGTGGGTGCTGCAGTCTTTTTGAAATTGGGAGTTTCATGAATAACATCTGCTTAATGGTAGAAAGACCTTTTATTTGTTTAAGTTGTAGAGCTCTTTCAACATTATCTACCCAAAACAAAAATGCTCTTTCAACATTCAATATTTGCGAATTGTTCTCGTCATTTAGTAATATTACTTTGGGTAATTTTAGTTGGCACTGTTCTCTCATTCCATATTAAAGGGAAGTTGTGATGGAAAACTGTATGACGGAATATGCATTTTCCGAAATTTTTTTGTTTCCAGTGCAGGTGGCACCCAACGGCTTCCTAGGTTAGTTGGTAGATCTGTAGCAAAAGAGCTGATCTTCACTGGACGAAAGATTTCTGGCAAAGATGCATTATCATTGGGTAAGAGCACTCCTCTCTCTCTCTCT